GGTTTTATCATTAATTTATGGAGAGCGGCTAATAGTCTTGGCAATAGCCTGAGTTGTTTTTTTGGGGGGGAGGGGAGGTTCAATGGGGTCTACTTGGTCAACATCTCAATTTGGTCTGTCCGGGAACTTGGGATTTCATTTGGTCATGAGAGATGTCTAGTTGTGGCTTTATCTCCCCCATCATCTGGTGATTGCATTTGGATGTCTTTCATATGAGTACACATTTTAAGAAGCTTCTACTGTATTAATTTCCAAACGACCATTCAAATGGCCCCCTGTTTTAGCTCACCCCCAAATATTTCCTTCTATATCCACTTCTTCCCTACTCCTCCATGTTTGATCCTCTTTTTCCAAGTATTCCCCCAGCCTGCCTTACGTGATCTATATCTATCTATTGTTTTTCCTCTTCCTAGGGCGATCCTTCCCTCTGCCTGGTCCCTTACTCTATAGCTAACCTCTATGGCTAGATGGATTGTAGTGTGCTCACTGAACTCTCACAAACCATCATCCACATATATCAAATACATACCACGTTTTCTTTGGGGCTCTGAGCTACCTCACTCAGGATGATTATTTAGTTCCATCCATTTACCTGTGATTTCACAATTCCATTTAAACAGCTGGGTAATATTCTATGTATAAATGTGCCACAATTTCTTTATCCTTTTATCCAATTCTGTGTTTGAATAGGTTTTCTCTCTGTGTGCAAGTGTGTGTCTCTGTTGGTTCTTTTTTTCCGTTTATTTGTTTTGTCCTATTCTTGTCTGGTTTTATTTTGTTATATTTTTTAGATGCCTGTTTGTATTCTAGTGAGACAGACTAAAGGGTGTGTGTCAATTTGGGTCAGTATGGGGTGGTGTAGGGAGGAGCTGGGATGAGTTGGGAGAGGAGAAACTGTGATCAGAATTCATTGTATGAAAAACATCTATTTTCAATAAAAGGTAAAATTATATATAAACAAAGAACAGCGAGGTTACATTTTTTTAAAAGCTGACATAAAGTGGTGGTCCAGGGACACACTGCTTTATGCATTTCTGATAATTTTTCTAATTATTATTATTACCAGTAAACAAACGCCTTCCATTTGTCCTGGAGATCCTGTTTGAGTCAAATGACCAGATAAATGAGCACATATTTGCTCTAGAGGATAGACACAGGACTGTCTTTCATCCTAGTAAATAAGGGATAGATAGAGTACTCTTATGGTCAACTAGTACTATGCATAGTCATAAAATCATGACTGAGCGTTGAGTGTACAGCAATGTGGGCACAGCTCACAAGGTACAATATAAGAGGTTGCTTAGAACGTGTTTCCTGGTTGTTTAATGTTGGGTGTGAAAGCAGGCAAGCCAATCCCCTGCGTAGGATTGAATACTGGTAAGTCTTTGAAGCCCAGGCACTGGGAAGATAGTCACTGACAGTGTCCTGTAGATGGCCGACAGGCGGTACTTGTGTACCTACTGTGTAAATATGTGTTTAAAGGCAGTAGGCACATGCTATAAAGATTAGTGCCCTTTCTCACATTAATATCATCCTCACTAATTATGTTTGATTCAGGGGAACATTTGTTCACAATACAATTTAGAAGTGTAATTTGTGGAGCAAGAGAGGTTTCATTTCAAACTAATACCTCAGAAAGCCCCAGGCAATGACAAGCCGAGGATAGAGTCTAGGTACTTGGAATATCAAGCTGTCTTTGCTCCCTGGCATTGGAAGTTGCAGAGGGAATCCTGAGAGGTATTTCTCCAAGAAGCCACAAGAGGATCTCCAAGCTAAGGCAGCAGCTTCCTCTCATGCTTCCCCACCACCTGCCGAGAGAAGCTTTGAGAGAAGCTGTAGCTAGGCCCACAAGCCTCCCTAACCCGGTCCAGGTTTTCCTCAAACAGAGTAGCTGCTTGGATGCCAGAACTGTTGATTCTCGCGTTGTGAGTTCTGCAGATCTACTCTCAAGCCTTGGGTTCTACCTAGGATGAGGCACCACTTTTCTTCCCAGTTTTATGCTTTGCTATTCGTTTTCCTTCCGCTTAGGAGGGGAAAGTGAATTCTGCTTGTCCGGATTGAGCTGTTAAGTTTCTCAGGTGCTGAAGATAGAAAGGCTGGCAAGCAAGGAGGGTAGGCACTGCGCATGCTCTGCAAAGCACCCCAGCCTGGCCAACTTAGGCAAGGGCTCGCGGGGGCGGCGGGGGGGGGGATCAAAGGCTAACAGCTGGTACTTTGACGATTCTTAACCTTGCATTTTGCTTTCATACTCATGTTCAGAAAGCTTGCTTCGAATATGTCATCTCTCCTGACTCATTTAGGAAAAAATATCCCCACCCCCACCCCCAGGCTGTACCAAGAGGCTTTCTAAAGGAAAATATCCAGCTCTGTCAAGCTTGCCCATGGTGCCCAGTTAAGTGGAGCAAAGTACTCCCCACTTCAGAAGAGGTCAGGTGGCGCGCATTCATAATAATAGCACATCAAACCCAAGCAGGAAAGGGAAGGATTGGCTCCACCAGCGCGGGGCTGTACAAAGGTCTCGCGTCTTCTGTTGGACTGAGGGGTTGCAATAAATACAGACACGTGCAATCCCCAGGGTGACATTTAGCTGCCTGGAACTTCACTCTACTTGTGAGGTAGAACTATGCTGTGAGAGGCTGAATGGACTCAATCACACTGACTCTGGGCTCCCATGGAACCGTGCCTGACATTGTTTTGTAACTATGTCAAAAATGGGAGCATGAAAAAAAAAAGAACTGTTGCATTTAATTTTGGTTTTCTTGCAGAATAATTTTTTAAAAAATCCGTGGTGATGACATGCCTTCTGTATGTGTAGGTTCTGTATCCTTTGGTTCAAACAAACTTGAATAGAAAATATTGTCTTAAAAACGTGTACCTGTACCAGACAGGCATTTATCTTATCCCATCAACAATTATAACAACTGTTTACATGGCATTTGTACATAGTAGGCAGCATAAGTAATCTAGAGATGGTTTAAACCATATGGGAGGTCTATGAAAATCTTAATACATTTTCTGTGACAGATTTAGCATTCCCAGGGATCCTGGAGCCAGTTTCCAGAGAGGAAATTGAAACAAGACTTGCATTTGTGAAGAGACTCAAGAAAATACCACACCACTCTTTGCCTGAGTTTTGAACTGTTCCATCATACGGTGCAAGTATGGTGCAAGAAATTAGAGATGGAAGAAGAGTTTTATAGAAGCTTGAAGAAGGAAGCAAGGGAAGGGCTTGGCTGTCAGGAATCGCCAAAGAACACAGACATCCATACTGTCTGTGTGGGCAGAGAAGGATGCTAGTAAAGGGTCTGGTTGGGGTGAGCTAGGCGAGCCCACGTGCCCGTGGAGGCTGGAAGATGATGACAGTTCTTAGTTAAAAACAATACTGTCAGCCACAGTCTCTGGCCTCCTGCTGGCTCACATTCCGTATCTGTGAATCCCCGCAGCCAAGCGAGGGAATTCCCAAGAGCTTCCACCTGATTCTCTCTGCCATTTTTTATGACAACGCTCATTTGTCCGGTGGCTAAAACCTTTTCTTGGGGGAAATATGCACGCTGCCCTCCTCCCGGATCCTAAGGACAAACCAAAGTTCACCCCCTCGCAGTTCACCTGAAGGAACTGGAGTTTATTCGCAGGACTTAACAGATGACAGATAAGAAGTTACTGACAGGATCTCCTGGTGAACAACCAGACAGCCAAACCTTCACCTAATGCCCTTGAAGATTTCTTTTCTCACTTCCTTCCCCTCTGGTTTCCCCAAGCTTCTGGCACCCGCTCCTCCCCTAGTCCTAGGCTATTGGCAACGAGGGCAAAGTTGAACACCAATGCCTGGCCTGGGAGGAGAGTTTGGAAGTCAGCTGAGGGTCTGATGAATTCCCCCAACCCCTCCTTCTCGGAAGGAGAGCCAACAATCCACAGGCCCAGTCCTGATGGATTCCTTCCTGCAAGCAGGCATAGCTCCCCTCATAATCACCAAGGCAGACTAAGGGAAGGATAGTACCTTATAGCAGTCAGGATTAAAGAAACTGTCACGTTTCTATGAATAATAGTTGAAAATATATTTTCTAACAATTTTTTAAATTAGGAAAGCAGCATTCTTGTTTGTGTTGAAGCTAATGCTTGCATGGAGAAAGATTAGCTTTCTAAGACATCATACAAATGAAAATAGGCAATGTTCAGTTTGGAACACGGAAATAACATCAGTTTCACTCAACGGAGAGTTCTTTGCTTTCTGACTCTGGCTGGACCCTTCTCTCTGACCTTAATTAACCATTTCTCTTCGGATGATTACTGATAATGTCTTAGCATCTCTTTTTCTTTTCTTTTTTTTTTTAAGAGAGAAAGGGACACTGGTAGGACTTCCCAGCCATATGTACGAATACCAAAGGGAGTTCGGGTAAGCAAGGACCACGCACTGGAGAAGATTGGCTTTTGGCAAACCATGTCACCTACTTGCAATGGCGTCCCTAAGAGAAGGCACAAGGCACCAGAGGCAACAGGAGTGGGGGTGCTGCAGAAAAGCTACCAGTGCCCCCTCCCCGGAGGGGGGCGCTCCATAGGTGGATGACACCGGCCCTTTCTGCGCCTCCTGGAAGGGATCCCCAAGCTCTCCTTCTCCTCAGCCCCGCCCCTTTCCCAGACCTCCAACTCCCGAGTCCATTCAAACCTTCTTCGCCCGGCGTTGCCAAGCCTGTTAATTGGGGAAACTCCTCCCCGCCGCCGCTGGCGGGCACCGCTAGAGCAGCCGCGACCTCCCGCCCCGCCTCCGAGCGAGCGCAGCCACCCCAGCTCAGAGCCCCGAGTCAGTCCGGGAAGTGGGCAGGCGTCCCGCGGGTCTCCTGCTGCAGGAGGAGGGCGCCCCGCCACCTACCCATCCTTTCCTGCCCCCCTTACCCCGCTCGCCCAGAGCGCCCGGAGCGCGGACACATCCCGCGTGCGCCCCGCGGAGGAGCCGGGACCGTCGGGGGCGCGGCGCTCGGAGCGGACACCTGTCCCTCCCTGCCCGCCGAACCCGGGGGAGGGGGCATTGCAGCCGGTGGCAGCCTAGGCGCCTGAGCCAGAGGAGACCGGGAAAGCCGCGCCCGTCAAGGCAGAGGCCTCGGACCCGCGCCCGGAACGCCATGGCTGCGAAGCTGCTGCTTCTCCTCTGCCTGTTCTCCGGCTTGCATGCTCGGTAAGTGGCTCCCAGGCGGTCCCCGAGGCCGGCAGGGGCGAGAGGGCGACGACGGGGGTGGGGTGGGTTGGGGGTGCTTTCTGCTGGCCGCCAGTTCTTGGTGCGCGCCGTCCGTCCACTCCACTGGGCTGCAGGAGAGGATTGGTTCCAGCACCTCACCTGTAGGTCTCCCCCAGGCCCCTCTCCAGGGCAGCCGCAGCCCTCTGCAACCCGGTGCGTGTGGGGACTGTCCCAGTGGTTTTAGGATGTGGTGGTTTTAATTTGGAAATCAAAATGACGAGGCAGTGGCCTCCTCTTTCTCCTCATCTGTTCTGTTTGCCAGCTATCCAAGGGCTTTCTGATATACATGGGTTAACACTCTGCATCCATTCCATCACTGGAAAGAAATCCCCAAACCCGGGAGTTTGTTTTCTCAACCACTCTATAATGGAGGGGGCCCGGGGCAGGTGGTTAGGCAGAGCCCTGCATCTCCCCCAGCTCCTACACCACCTCTCTGACTCTAAAAAAGAATCATGCTGCGGTTCACATGGGAGCTTCTTCCTGAAGCTGTAGGAAATTACCTCACTGTGAATACCCAAAACCAGCACCAGCCGGCTAACAGAAACTCAGAAGCACTCCACAGACAGGCAAGGGCTCTTGAGAAGGGTAGTGGCACAGGAGAGGTTAAAGCCTGTTGCCATAAACGCAACCAGAAGATGCCGACACGGATTAATTCCGTGTCTCTGGACTGGTGTTCTGGTTCCAGTCCGCAGACTACCCTGGGCTTGGGGAATCTCTGACCGCTTTCCCTATCCTCACCCTAGGAGTCAGAGGGCTCCCCATCCAGTCCCCAGAACACACTTGGTTTTAACAGTTTCTCAATTTCCTGGATCGGAAAGCAAATTAGAAATCAGCTGCCCCTGTGGGTCACCAGTCCTGGTCACCATCACAGGCTTTCGTTTTCACTCACATTTGTGAAATGTCAAAGAACTAGAAGCCACCCTAAGAGCACCCCCAAAACTATGAGAGGAGGGCTTCCCAAATTCTTACTCCAGCTAATCAATGTCCCTTCCCTAAGGACCACAGCCTTGACACTCTCCTCCTGAACTTGCCCTTGCTGAATTGATGTTCCAGACTTGACCGTTCATTCAGGAAGGGGAGACCTCGCCACCAAAGTTTCTTCTTGTCCAAAGGGGGAGCTAGGAAATGCAATGTAGAAGTGTGTTTTAAAGGGGATGGCGTCTGGCAGGACCTCAGTGTAGAGCAGACACCACCAGAAGCATCAGTGAGGTTGCAGTCACATCAGCGAGTCCCCTCCTATAGCCGCCCACTCAAAACCTGGCCCGCGATTCAGGGTTCTATCAATTGTGTAGATGTATAGGTAGTTACAGTTCTGCAAGGAGAGGTGCCAGTTTCCCTCATCCTTTGGTGTGCTCCCGGGGAAGGTGGAGCAGTCTGGTTTCTGCAGATTTCCAAACACGACAATCTCTTGGGAGTCCTCATCTTACCTTTTCAGCGAAGGTACATGTACTGATGTTAATATGTTCTCTATCAGGGCTTTTAGTCTTGGTGATTATGATTGCATATCAGTTTAAAAAGAACCCATTTTTTGTGCTTACTTTATTGCTATATGTCTCACTTTTGAAAGGGTGTTTATTTTTTAATGGGTGTTGCAAACATGTAAAATAATTGAAATGGCCCATCCGTCTTTCAGTCTATTACGGTTCTGCGAGAATCCTCCTCAGCATTAACGGTGCCTTGCTGGTATGGATGCTCCTCCCTAGGTAGGCTCTGACAGGATTGCTTGTGGATCTGCAATGGGAGTACCTCCCCCACCCCTGACAGCCATGGCCAAGCTTATTGCACAGGAAAAAAATGTGGTGCACCACTTGAATATTCTGAAGTTGTTGACTGGCTTTTGAAGTTCAGGAGTTCGTTTTAAAGTTGAAAACTCCCTTGAATGTTGTTTCTGTCATTCTGACAAAGAGAAGGTTTAAAGGGCTGGAGGCACTATCTGGGGGATTGAGCATGCGTTTGCTTTATTTTTAAGGAAAAGCTAATTGCAGCAACGCTGTTTAGGATTCAGCAATCCAAGCAACGGCGTGCTTGAAGGTTATATATAACCCATGCAGAATTGTGAAGAGAAAGGAAATTCTATTCCATCCATCTGCTAGTTGGGTCCTCTGAGGTGAGATGGGTTTTCCTCAGGGCACGGTATAGGGCAAGGGTTCATCTTCCGGACTGAGAGAAGCAGAGTTCTGGCAGCCGAGGAGCAAGGACCTCTAAGGCGGCCTCTGCCAACTTCATAGCTGGTTGCACGTAGGGAGAGACATGCCTGTTTTCCCGGCCCTTATGCCTGCCAGCACTCCCGCGCCTGACCTGCCCATCAGGAAGAAGCTTATGCAATTTCAGATAAGTCGTCTCACCACTAGAGGGAGGATGAGACTCTTAAAATACCTGCCCTTGAAGAAGCCAGCTTTTCTGTGCCTGTGCTGGGAGTATAGAAGTAAACACAGAGAGGCGAGTGTGCTGCCTATGCACACATGACTGTTGGGCCAGCGAGGACCATGGGGCTGTAGACCTCCTGCTTCTGCAGTGGTCGTGCAGACGGGCAGGGCTAAAGGAGTCAGGGGAAGACTAGAAAGGGAGGCAGGAACCTGGGGGAAGCCTCGTTTTCATTTGTATTAGTACCTACCCATTTCCATGGTCCCCAGATACCTTTGTTCTGGGATAATTTGTTAGGTCTTAGAGGCAGTGTGTGGCTGTCTGCTGTCCAAGTGATTCATGCTTTTTTTAAAAATTATTCTTCCTTCATTTTGCATGTGTAAGGGGATGCTGTTAGCATTGCTGACACAGCTTCCAGCTACATAAACTACTTGAACACCTAAAAATTCTATAACGTCCTCTGTACAAATGCAGTTTCACAGGTAGTGAGGTGCACTCCCCTTACTGGGTGGAGATGCCGAAAGTCCTAAGTCCCTCTTTGTGGTGAATGCTGAGCTTAAGTAATATCCGCACCAGTTGTGGACAGATTGTTTTAATCCTCTAGACAGTGAGGTATTTGCGAAAAAGTTCACTTACAGATCCGTCTTGGAAAAGCTTAACTGCAAATGTGATTCCAGAAGTCTCATTATCAACATCTCACACACACACACACACACACACACACACACACACACACACACACACACACACACACACACGACTGATGCAAATAGGAGCCGACATGTACATACACATTTATAAGTGCCTCAAATTTGATTGAAGACGAAGGAGTGAATTCACAGTCACTATACTTTTCACGGATTCCCTGTTAGCTTCAGGAAACTAACATGCCCGAGGCCAGGCACCTTCGTATGCAGCTGCTGTCCATGGACTTCTGTCTGGGAGCCAGAACAGAAACGAGCTTGTACCCAGTCGGGACAAGTCCCTTTAAGCGCGTCCCCTCACGCTCTCCTTTAGGAAAGTGGCATCCGGGCACACGCATAGACAAACGAGGACAGGGGTTTTGTTTCTTAAGCTCTTCTCAGACTCAGCGGCAATCCCGCAGGAGAGGAGATAACTTTGTTAAGGAAGAAAGAGATGCTTTCCTTCCCAAGCCCCAGGTCCTGTGACTGGGTGGGCCTCACTCACAGAGAAAACCTGCTGTTGTCTCGAGGTTTCTCCTCATTTGAGCTCCTGCAAGCATGGACCACTCTGCAGAAAGGGCTGCGGCGATTAGTAGAGCTGGACAGAAGGTCAGAAATGCCCAGGTCCACACTGGGATTCACTTAAAAGCTCGGAGTGTTGAAGACATACTAGAAAACATTTAATTCCTAAAGCCTGCTGAGAAAGAGATGAGGCAGATTGAGTGAGCAAGGTGTGTAAATTGCCAGAGGACATTCTGCACTCAACTAACATATCTGGCTGTCCCCCATGCTGAGTGCCAGCAAATTAGGCCACCTCGAATACCCACAAGTAGTCTCCAAAAGCCCAGGCCACACAGAAGGCACAACCAGAGTCAGGTGTTTTCAATGGGTCTGTTCTGTAAAAGCCGCTCTCTCCTTCCACGGTGTTGTTGGTGGAACTTGGAAACAACACTGCTAAGTACTCTGAAGTGTGTCCGGTTTTGGCAGGTTAGAGGGTACCTAACTCCTGTTGGGCAGTTTGGCATCAATTCTCCCATTGCCCCGTCTCTAGTTTAACTTGGGCAGGACTGTTCTGTCAACAGTAATTGCATTACTCCTATGGGATGGCTCCTAGTTTGCATTGTACTTGTTTTAGCTTTACAGGTGACACGGACGGCTAGCCGAAAGATACTGAGGACTCCCCGCCTCTTTTAGTAGCACTTAGAATGAGCAAATCAAAGGAGTTTTCTGGAACGGTTGCAACTCACGTGTCGCGTTATGTTACAACCGCAGGTCTAGGAGGGTGGAAGAGGATGAGAATGAAGACTCTCCGTCGAACCAGAAGTGGGTCTTGGCGCCCAGGTCACAAGACACTGACGTGACGCTGATTCTCAACAAACTGCTGAGGGAATACGACAAGAAGCTGAGGCCGGACATCGGAAGTGAGTGCCACTGGTTATTTCAACATAAAGGGTGCTTCTGACAACGTGTGCCTTAGAATTTCCGTACTCAGGAATTGCGGATTTAGAGTTGCCGGCGGTGCAGTAAGGTCTGCTTTATCCGTCCCAGCTGTGAGTGAGTGGTAGCAGACACAAGATAATGACACGGGTCTGCTGACTGCGGGTCTGTATTCCCTGTCGTGTCCCTGTGGTTTTATTTACAGTTGGTCTACTGAGCTTGCGCTGCACGTGTTAAGCACACCAGTGCATTCCCTTCTCGGAAGTGGGTACCCATGCTATTCCCTCTCCTACAGGTTGGGTTGTCAGGGCTCTATTTGGCCTTTTAGCTGCTGAGGTTGAGAGCTCCTTGCTTGTTCACTGTCAGATCTGCGGCTTGTCTCTCTCTTGGGCTCTTCCACAGGGAGGGTTTTAGTATTGGTGCGATCTGATTTACTGGTTCTCCTTTATGACGTTTCTCAGAGCTCTTTCTACTGGGCTCTCTATCAGCTTGTCACCTTTCATGTGGCCTTCACCCTCCAGCTTTCCAAGTTCAGGACTGAAGTTGATTTGTATCAGGATCTAGAGTTACCTCCGTTCCAGCTAGCACGAGACTTCAAAAATCCTTGTGGTTAGTGAAGAATTAAGAAGTGTGTACCCCCTGTGATACTGGAGAAGCCATGCCAAATTCCCATGCCTCCTTTCTCTTTGTATGTAATGATGAGAGGTGCCACTCTCTGCCAACTTCTATCCAGCCTTAATAATAGGTCTTCCGTTGACTGCGGTCAGAACATCTAGAGATAAACAAAATAAAATACAGCAGGAAAAATAAAAGACCTAGAGTCCCCAGATATTGGGGCTCAAACTTCAAGCTGAAGATTAGAAAAAGCAAAGCAGCTGGTACCTAGCTTTGACCTTTACCTCAGGCTGAATGGGCCGACCCTGCTGCCTCTCCTCTTCGTGACTGGAGACACCTGAGACTGAATGTCTTCCTTTTCTCAGTGTGGCTGGAGAATGAATTCCTCCTATTCTCAGTGTTATTGGAGAATAAATGCCTGACACTGAGACTTTATTCCTGTCTTACATACCTCCCTAATCTGGGATTAATGGCGTGTGATCCCAAGTTCTGAGATCATCTTTATGTGAGCTGTTTCTCTTTAGGACTGGATCTGTCTTGTGTAGATCTGGGTGGCCTTGGACTCACAGAGATCCCTCTACCTCTTACTCCTGAGAAGAGGTCTGTAATACCACCTGCTAGTTTCTGGATGCTGGGATTAAAGGTATGCCTGGCTTCTATGGCTTGTGGCTGATTTTGCTTTCTGAATAGTCAGGCAAGTTTTAATAAATCATAATATATCACCACAATAAAAGAAAATGACAACCAATGCTGGCTGACATGGCTGTAGGAAATGGAAACACTTATTCACTGTTGGTGTAACTACAAACTGGTACAACCACTGTGGAAATATTCGTGGAGGTTTGGCCAAAGGATGGAAAACTAGATCTACCATACGATCCAGCTGTGTCACCCTTGGGTTTATACTCAAAGTACTCTGTGTGCTCCTACAGTAATGGCATGATCATCCATCCATATTCACTGATCCTCTATTCATAATAGCCAGGGAAGAAAAGCAGCCTCGATGTCCAGCAATTGATAAGTAATGGGATGCCTGTGTGTTTATATAATGGATTATTCAGATACAGATTCAGAAAAGACAAATACCTCATATTGTCTTTTATATGCCATGGCAACTTTGAATCTGTAGATCAGTATGTTAAATTGGAGCAACCACACAAGTCGGGACACTGGTAAGTGACCATGCGGAGGACGGATTTAAAGGGGGAGGGCTAGAATGCAGGTTTAGTATAACGGGGGCAGGAGAATGAATGAACTAGGAATTGTGTGGAGAAGGGAGTGGGGAGAAGTATCAGAAACTCCAAGACATCTGAAAATGCCCTATAGAAATCTACTGCTAAGGTCACTTCCTAAATGTATACACACATAAAAGGAGATTAAATGGTTTTGCCCTATGACTAGGCTACTGCATCTCCCAGACACCATAAGCTATCAAGTAAAAAGCCTGTTGCCAGATATGGGATATTTCTTTTCCATTTGTTCATCTGTAGACCCTCCTCCATGCGTTATAAGATACCGACGTTGCTCTTGGTTACCCTTCAGAGCTCGATGGTAAAACCATTGCTTCAGACACCATGCACGTCAGTCATAGAGAGTGGAGAGATCAAGGTGGTACACACCAAGAAGCTTCTTCCCCACTGGCCAGGATTCAGAGAGCTGGAACTTCCCTTAACCATATTTGAAGCCTGGGAACCACAGTAATGACCGCCTGGCGGGACACGGCCGCTTGTGCATTAGCAGAACAAGCATTGTGTAGTAACCAACAACGTTCTGATGGGACTTAAAGCTAAGCTGAAGGTTTTCTTTTTTTTTAACTTTAAATTAAATTTAAAACATTTTGGAGTTCATGCCTGGTGCCTATAACTGGACCTAAAGCCTATGACTGGCTACTGGATATGTCATTATGGTGCCTATAGGCTCATATGTTTGAATACTTGGTCTTGTGGAAGGTGTGGCCTTCCTGGAAAGTGTGCCACTTGGGACAGGCTTGAAATTTAAAAGACTCATGCCATATTTGAGCACACGCTTTTGGATTGTGGATCAAGATGTAAGCTCTCACTTGTTCCTTTGATCTACCATTGTGTGCTCTAACCCTCTGAAACCATATTAGCAGTTTATTTTATGAATTGTTTTAGTCATGGTGTTTTAACACAGCAATAGAAAAGTAACTAAGACAGCCATAGACCCTAAAAGAGAACCTGTGGCCAAGAGAGCTTAGGGGAGAGTACAGCACTATTATTCTGCTAATTCAACATAGCAATAAACTGCTCTATAAATAACTCGTCTGATATCCATAGATTAGCGTGTGTCTGACACTCATTAGAGAAGGTTTCTTTTTTCAGTAATTATCAGTTAACAGAGGAACTACCAGTCGATGTACACAGAATAAAAGAGTGAGGTGTGCTCATCTCTCAGTGGGACGCTTGTGTCACACCCCTCCCCCAAGGCGCAGGGATCGTCTCAGAAGAGGGAATGGGAAGAATTTATGAGCTAAGGACAGTGGATGACTGAGATAGGATAAGGTCAGTGCACACATGAACTCACAGCAGCCATGCCTTCATGCAGAAGTCCTGCGTGCAGACAAGACAGCCAAAATCCCGGCATGAATGAGAGAGGGGTGCATTGTTCCACTCCTGGCTGAGGAGTTATAGGAAATTGCTGGCTAACACTGCAGCCAGGAGAGTCAATTTTCTTTGGGAGTGTAGTCTATAAAAGCTTTAGCATACTCTACTAGATGGCCTTGTACCAATGCATATCCTGGCAGTACTGAGTGGAACTTAGTAGTTTAAAATAGAGCATAGAAAGTGATAAGTGACTGTGGGATGTGAGAAGAATTGGAAGGGAGATGGGCATGAATTTGATACTAACACATATGCATATATGAAATTTCCAAACAATAGAAAGCTCTGCAGCATAAACTGCATCTAATTACTAGGTGCAGTTACCATTGCACAAGTTTCATGCATTCAGTTTTCAACCCATCATCTTATTATCACTATTTGAAAAGTCAGTAGTGACGAACACGATACATTTTGGGATCCTATGGAAAGAGATGGTTTTTAAATGTTGCTGACTTCCTCAGTGTTGGTTAGACCAAAGACGAACTTGAAGTTCTGGGAAAGTTCAGGCCAGCTGATGCTTTCCATCTTGGTAACATGTTTTCTGGGTTGAGGATTTTTTTTTGCAGGAAGTGGGCATGCTCAGCTTCCCAGCCAGATGTCTATGGCCCTCCTGAAAGGTCAGTTGTCATTTACTGTTCATAGACAGTTTGATGGAGGCCTGTTCAAGCACACACACACACACACTCACACACACACACACACACTCACACACTCACAGCTGCCCCATAATCCCATAGTGTGCTTGAATGGGAAAAAGGAGTCCTATCTGTGCCACAGACAAGTCCTGTTCATACCTCGGCAGTTTATAACAGTGCCCTTCTTATCCGTGTGAGTTATTGTTAAAGACCCTCAATGGATTCCTGAAAGCGTTCACCATATCTTGTCCCACAGAGGACCTAACCTGTGGTAAGTAAGGTTTAATTAATAAGGCAGTGTAAGACATTTACAGCAATAGCAAATGGCCAAAGCTTAACAACGTATTGTGATACGCATTATGTAAACACACTCTCAAAATACCTTACTGTGCTGTGCTCGCCTGACTTTGGATTGTGGCTGACCCCAGGAAACTGGAACCACAGAAAGAGGTTATGGGTTATGGAAGGCTTTCTGCTGTGTCCATAAAGAGCTGTGAATTGCCCTGTGGTCTGGGAGTGAAAGGGATTTCATAGAAGAGTGAGTCGAAGAGTTGCAAGGCAAGGTGTTGCTCTGTGGTTTCAGAGTCTGAAACCCTACTGTTGCTGTCCCTTGGGTCTTGGGGCAGCCCAGTGTCCCATGAAAAGGCCCTTCTCCATCAAATGCCATTGGGTGCACCTTCCTTTCTCAGAGGAATACTGTGCAGCTCCTGATTGGCCAACTCTAGCAGCTTGCTGGTACCCGGCCAGAGTGGAGTTAACTGCCTAAGATCAGCTCTCTGGGGGAAGATGCTGCATATCATCTTTCTGGCTCAGAGGGGCCTCTGCTTCAGAGGGCAGTTTCTCATAAAAACCGGAATTGCTTTTCCGTGGTCATGACTCTACCGAAGCATAGTGGACTGTGGTGACCATTGCCATACCCTGTCACGGTACAGCAAATGGATGCTCAGCTGAGATACTGTAGACAGGTGTGCCGTTAGCTTAATGGAGTACTCAGCTGACTTGCTCACTTCCCTTTTAATGCCCCACCCCCAACCCCCAGCTCTCTGCACGGATTTCCACCATGCAAACTGGAGAACAACACAGGTCTGCCCTTGCTTACATTGTGCTGCTGGT